CTTTCAGTCCCAGACTGAAAAAAAAAGGAATTTACAGAAGCTGGTTGGATACCAAATAGCACAAGGCCATCTTCTCGTTCTCTAACCAGTATTGTAATTTACACACTTCCGATCTAATGCATTACCCCCCGCCTTCATAGTGTTATAAAAATAATATAGGATCTTATCAGGTTTCTTTGATTCCTCTACTATTTTGTTATCATGCTGCATAGATTGCTATACGAGAACATGTGTATTTGGTTTTGGAAGATACTACTCTAAGGCTGTACAACATAAACTTAGAAGTACCTGGCTGTGTTTCCTTCTTATTTGGAACTACATGTTGGGGTACTTGTTACTTATTTTTACGCTTCCTGCCGACATAGGTCAGTTGGTTGATGCGCAATTCTACATGTAATTCTACTGACGTGAACCAGTCATCTGCTGTGATTTCTGTTCGTATAGACGAAAGCATTGAGCAGGTAGTGGTGAGTCTTTGCATCATCAGTCCATACTTATTCGGTTTAGTTTTCTTGTAGGCACAGGAAGGACATCGGCCCACGAGCATCTCGTATTTTGTAGGGGACTCACCCGAAATATAACAATTTCGACAGTTCTCTATGAGTGTCTCGAAAATTTCACGTATTTGGAGAAATTTATCGGCATTTCTCGAGTCACAGGGTTATTATTTTCCAAATTGGTTGCCACGGACTTTAGTTCAGGTAAATGCGTAATAATCGACCAGTTGCAGGCGCTCGTTTTGACCAATTGTACATGTTTTTTCCATAGGCATAGCGAGGTCGCCCATAGGAAGTTGTTCAGGTTGATCGATAGCAGCGTCGTCCTCGGCGTAGTCTATAGTGTATTGTTCATCCGTCAACAACGAAAAAATCCATTGTGAAGGAAGTTCAAATCGTACACGCAACTGACATCCTCGGATCAAATTTGACCGCAAAGTCAACAAACCAACAATTGTGATGTTTAAATTAAACTGTGGTTTGAGGTATACGTGCTCATACCGTATGAGAAGTCACGGGACCCCCACCACATAACTGAGAAAGCTCGAATCATCCGACGATATCATTAAAGGATTAATTTCTATATTCTTGAACGAATCTATAAAATCAAAGTGGCTGGGTTTCAATTTACATAGCTCTTTGTATGGTCTTGTTTGCTGATCAACATTATATGATTTCTAGACATGTTCAATCTGTGCAGCTTCTTCACTTTCATATTAATGTCAATAAGAGCATTTCATCCATTTTTGAATAAATGTGGTTCATCACAAATTGTAGAAATACTCTGAGCATTGACTATAAAATGGAATGGACTTGATCCGTGAGTATTCTCCGAGCAAATCGTCTCAAGTGCGTTTTTGATCGTTGCGCCCTGATTAGAAATAGTGCCAACAACGCACAAACCAAGTCGCTGCTAGTTTGTGATCACATGAACAATAATCGTTTTCAGATCTGGGATTCTTGTATCTTTTACTAGATAATAAGCCACAACCTGCTTATAATTTTTACGAATCCCTCTTATCATGGAAGTAAGGGCATGATTTCTGATAAATCACTTTTTCAGAGTTCTAGTTGATTTTGTTACCTCAGAATTCAAGATTTATTAGCTGAAAATTGTACACTGTGAGCACTGGGATCAGCCCTAAACTTTGTCCAAACCCTGCAATAATCGTAAACACTAAACAAGGGTAGACATATTTCTAGTTTAACTGCCTGAAGATTTTCTCTATGGTTTATACGTAACTCTCCACCTATTATCTCATTTTTGTACATGTTCTGGGAGAACTCAACTTGCTCCCTATAAAATGCAACGTCTTCCTGCACAGGTGGTTCTGGTTAAGTGCCAGCCTGCTTCGGGTTTGTAATTAGTTGTTGCAATTTTCTGATTTCGTCGTCCTTTTTCATAATCCAGATTTCGTTTTGGCATTCCAGTTCAGCCATTTGATCCTGAAGCTCTTTTATAGTAGAATCATTATGGCATCGTATATCTGAGATTTTAAATGAGTGGTTGACCTCACGTTGGTTACTCTCGTCCATCAGACTCTTTACGTCATTTCTCAGTTTAGATTCAAGTTCTTTTAGGAAGCCAATTTCATCTTGCAGTTCAGCAATGTGTGACATCGTTACATCAGTTTGTGCAGCAGCACTTAAAGAATGTTGCATATCTTCGTACTCAGCGTCAAGCATAGCTTCTAAGTCTGCAACCTTCTTTTTTGACTCAATATTTTGAGCTTCAAGAGATGGTTTAGGGCTCTCTGATCTTCCTAGGTTCTTCAGTTGAGTACGCAGCATCTCTATTTCTGACTCGTATGTTTTTAGTCTTTTTATTATTTTTTTCCAGAAAATCGAGTCTGTATTGCAAGTCGATGAAATTCTTGCGCTTTTTGAGAATTTTTTTGAACTCTTTCTATTTCTTCGTTGTACGCATCCGTTACTTGGCGGAGTTCCTGACTGTAACGATCGAATTTAGAATTGGCTTCTGTGAGCTGTTTCTTCAGGTCCAAAATCTCCAGCTGATTATCTAGTTTAGTGAATTCTCTAAGCTCATTGAAAGATTCTTCCAGTTCTTTGAGTTGTCTTTTAAGTACACTTGCACGTCTTCAGCTATCACAGATTCTGCTTCGGCTAGTGCCTCCTCATATGTCTCTTCTTGAATAGGCCTCATTTCACGTCCGGATGATTCTTCTTTGGGTGGATAATTTTTCAATGGCATATACCCTAGGGATGCTTTTTTAGGTGATACGTTGCCATAGTGTCCAAAAGTATGACGTCTTAATGTTTTTTTCGGTGTTGATGCCGAGGCTCCCATTTGAAAGCGCCCGACAATAGATACTTCCGTTTTTAGTCTTTCTATCTCGAGCAGATACTCTTGTTTGCTTTTATCCATCTCTTTTAGCTTAATTGCCTGCTTTTTGAGCCGAGTTTCGAGATCGCGAGTCAAGTTCTGATATCCTTGAAGTGTCTCTTCTGTAGCTGACAAGATGTTTACTTTCGTTTTATTTTTGACAGTTTTAGTGCTTTGGGCGAATTCTGGTGTAGATCTAGTCTCCTCCTCTGCAGCTAAAGTAACATTCCCGATAATCAATGATTTGGCATTACCGCCAAGAGCCTGTGAGAGCAGTCTAGTCAATTTCGAATCGCGATAACTGATAAACTCCTTCCCCTCGCTTAGTTGCCTTATCACATTTCCTAATACTGACAAAGATTTGTTTATGTTAGCCCCCTCTTTAAGACGCTCACCAGCAGCTTTCGTCAGAGAAACTCTCTCAGAACCAGCTAAGTCCATTAAGTTAAGGTAGCTTATATGTACAGGTCCATCTTTCTGATTGGCATCTTTCGACTCCAGAATAATCCGGAAAATCGTGTGTGATCGAGATGACCTCTCATTCATGCGAGTAGCTGCAACTCGTCTGATCTTATTGCCCTGCATCATGTTCTCCATAACTTTATCAACATTGTCTACGACAGCTTCCCTTGCATCAAGCAGCACATTTCCTTTGATATCTTCTCATAGTTAAACCCTGATTGCTCTTATCCAGGAGGTCATTGATCTTTTCATTGTAGATTTCAATATAACTGCATCTAATCAAGTACCTCTTATCAACCTGGTCTGCCACATGCTGGAATAACTGATTGGATACTAATTGGAAAAGCCCAGGATCTGTTTTATTGCCCAAAATGGTGTGTGTTTTGCCAGAAGATGTTTGGCCATATGCAAATATTGTGGCATTGAAACCTTCCATGAAGGAATCGACTAAAGGTTTTACTACAGATCCATATACATCTGAATTTGTACATTCCTGATTAAATACATGGTCGAATATATAAACCTCTCCATGGCGACTACTTTCATCGGCTTCCCATATGCAGTTTACTCTTACGTTCCAAAGACGCTCTAGACCATCGGCTACTTCGCGGTGGATCATTGGTCTGATCTTTGTGGCTACTTTAATATTGTTGGAAGTCATTTTGGAAGCTTGAACTGAAATTTAATTAGAACTAGGGCTATTTCACGGGTTATAAAGAGGGGCAGATGTATCAGGTTGATACATTCTTTTTTTCCTCCTTTCCAGTATAGAAGATTTTTTTCTCTTGTAGGCTATGAATGCGGTCCGATAGTTTAGTAGAGCTACATTTACAGGGTGACTCAAAATCAAAGAAGAAACAGAATTGTTAAATTTCATATAGACTGTTATTGTTATTACAAAAAGAAGTTGAAGCAGCAGCAAATTCTCACAAATCTATAGATCCATCACTTTCAGCACCCGATTTTTCAACTTGAAAAATGCAGCTCGGTGAAGAATCACAAGGTAACTGTTGTCTATTCAGACAATACTCTTCTAAAAGCAACGCGAAGTTACCTAGTGCCTTACATGAATCGCCTTCATAATTCTTCATTATTGTCAATGGAAAACTGAAATTGTTGATTATTACAGTTTTTAATGCTTCAAATAAACAGATGGTGTTCGTGTTGGAAATCCCACGTCTAATCTCGCAAAACAGGTTATCCACCGGATCTTACTATCAACATCTGAAATGCCATTACTGTTTTTAGCCATGTGTACAACAGGTTTGTACGCATAAGACACTCTTACATGAAAACTGTTTATTGTCTAAAAACGAAAATACCCCATTGAAGATGAGTAATGCAATAAATATAATCCTCGAAACTTGAACTGTAATATGAACATAAAAAAACTAACAAAATGGGCCATTTAACAACATATTTGGTGTTGATATTCTACAACAAAAACAAATACTTTCTCGTATAAGGAAACATACAATAATTAACATTTATCACTTTTCACGAAACAATGTAAGTGCGCTGTGACTTTACATACTTATTACAGATTGTAGAACATTTTTTTCATTGTGTATTGTCATGTAACACCTACGTCGTTTTTTTTCTTTAACAACTGCATCAGGATCGAGAACTCTGGGCTGAGAAGTAGACGGCTTACTTTATTCGTCGTTGGTAATTTAGGATTCTTTGCATGGCTGAACGAAGCTCCCTAGGAAGTCTTGGATCTGATAAACGTCCTCTCATACGAAGTTAAATTAGAGTTTGCCTCAGGGGAACAATAAAATTTCGTCGCCTAATGGAACTTTCAGTCCCAGACTGAAAAAAAAGGAATTTACAGAAGCTGGTTGGATACCAAATAGCACAAGGCCATCTTCTCGTTCTCTAACCAGTATTGTAATTTACACACTTCCGATCTAATGCATTACCCCCCGCCTTCATAGTGTTATAAAAATAATATAGGATCTTATCAGGTTTCTTTGATTCCTCTACTATTTTGTTATCATGCTGCATAGATTGCTATACGAGAACATGTGTATTTGGTTTTGGAAGATACTACTCTAAGGCTGTACAACATAAACTTAGAAGTACCTGGCTGTGTTTCCTTCTTATTTGGAACTACATGTTGGGGTACTTGTTACTTTTTTTACGCTTCCTGCCGACATAGGTCAGTTGGTTGATGCGCAATTCTACATGTAATTCTACTGACGTGAACCAGTCATCTGCTGTGATATTTCTGTTCGTATAGACGAAAGCATTGAGCAGGTAGTGGTGAGTCTTTGCATCATCAGTCCATACTTATTCGGTTTAGTTTTCTTGTAGGCACAGGAAGGACATCGGCCCACGAGCATCTCGTATTTTGTAGGGGACTCACCCGAAATATAACAATTTCGACAGTTCTCTATGAGTGTCTCGAAAATTTCACGTATTTGGAGAAATTTATCGGCATTTCTCGAGTCACAGGGTTATTATTTTCCAAATTGGTTGCCACGGACTTTAGTTCAGGTAAATGCGTAATAATCGACCAGTTGCAGGCGCTCGTTTTGACCAATTGTACATGTTTTTTCCATAGGCATAGCGAGGTCGCCCATAGGAAGTTGTTCAGGTTGATCGATAGCAGCGTCGTCCTCGGCGTAGTCTATAGTGTATTGTTCATCCGTCAACAACGAAAAAATCCATTGTGAAGGAAGTTCAAATCGTACACGCAACTGACATCCTCGGATCAAATTTGACCGCAAAGTCAACAAACCAACAATTGTGATGTTTAAATTAAACTGTGGTTTGAGGTATACGTGCTCATACCGTATGAGAAGTCACGGGACCCCCACCACATAACTGAGAAAGCTCGAATCATCCGACGATATCATTAAAGGATTAATTTCTATATTCTTGAACGAATCTATAAAATCAAAGTGGCTGGGTTTCAATTTACATAGCTCTTTGTATGGTCTTGTTTGCTGATCAACATTATATGATTTCTAGACATGTTCAATCTGTGCAGCTTCTTCACTTTCATATTAATGTCAATAAGAGCATTTCATCCATTTTTGAATAAATGTGGTTCATCACAAATTGTAGAAATACTCTGAGCATTGACTATAAAATGGAATGGACTTGATCCGTGAGTATTCTCCGAGCAAATCGTCTCAAGTGCGTTTTTGATCGTTGCGCCCTGATTAGAAATAGTGCCAACAACGCACAAACCAAGTCGCTGCTAGTTTGTGATCACATGAACAATAATCGTTTTCAGATCTGGGATTCTTGTATCTTTTACTAGATAATAAGCCACAACCTGCTTATAATTTTTACGAATCCCTCTTATCATGGAAGTAAGGGCATGATTTCTGATAAATCACTTTTTCAGAGTTCTAGTTGATTTTGTTACCTCAGAATTCAAGATTTATTAGCTGAAAATTGTACACTGTGAGCACTGGGATCAGCCCTAAACTTTGTCCAAACCCTGCAATAATCGTAAACACTAAACAAGGGTAGACATATTTCTAGTTTAACTGCCTGAAGATTTTCTCTATGGTTTATACGTAACTCTCCACCTATTATCTCATTTTTGTACATGTTCTGGGAGAACTCAACTTGCTCCCTATAAAATGCAACGTCTTCCTGCACAGGTGGTTCTGGTTAAGTGCCAGCCTGCTTCGGGTTTGTAATTAGTTGTTGCAATTTTCTGATTTCGTCGTCCTTTTTCATAATCCAGATTTCGTTTTGGCATTCCAGTTCAGCCATTTGATCCTGAAGCTCTTTTATAGTAGAATCTGGCATCGTATATCTGAGATTTTAAATGAGTGGTTGACCTCACGTTGGTTACTCTCGTCCATCAGACTCTTTACGTCATTTCTCAGTTTAGATTCAAGTTCTTTTAGGAAGCCAATTTCATCTTGCAGTTCAGCAATGTGTGACATCGTTACATCAGTTTGTGCAGCAGCACTTAAAGAATGTTGCATATCTTCGTACTCAGCGTCAAGCATAGCTTCTAAGTCTGCAACCTTCTTTTTTGACTCAATATTTTGAGCTTCAAGAGATGGTTTAGGGCTCTCTGATCTTCCTAGGTTCTTCAGTTGAGTACGCAGCATCTCTATTTCTGACTCGTATGTTTTTAGTCTTTTTATTATTTTTTTCCAGAAAATCGAGTCTGTATTGCAAGTCGATGAAATTCTTGCGCTTTTTGAGAATTTTTTTGAACTCTTTCTATTTCTTCGTTGTACGCATCCGTTACTTGGCGGAGTTCCTGACTGTAACGATCGAATTTAGAATTGGCTTCTGTGAGCTGTTTCTTCAGGTCCAAAATCTCCAGCTGATTATCTAGTTTAGTGAATTCTCTAAGCTCATTGAAAGATTCTTCCAGTTCTTTGAGTTGTCTTTTAAGTACACTTGCACGTCTTCAGCTATCACAGATTCTGCTTCGGCTAGTGCCTCCTCATATGTCTCTTCTTGAATAGGCCTCATTTCACGTCCGGATGATTCTTCTTTGGGTGGATAATTTTTCAATGGCATATACCCTAGGGATGCTTTTTTAGGTGATACGTTGCCATAGTGTCCAAAAGTATGACGTCTTAATGTTTTTTTCGGTGTTGATGCCGAGGCTCCCATTTGAAAGCGCCCGACAATAGATACTTCCGTTTTTAGTCTTTCTATCTCGAGCAGATACTCTTGTTTGCTTTTATCCATCTCTTTTAGCTTAATTGCCTGCTTTTTGAGCCGAGTTTCGAGATCGCGAGTCAAGTTCTGATATCCTTGAAGTGTCTCTTCTGTAGCTGACAAGATGTTTACTTTCGTTTTATTTTTGACAGTTTTAGTGCTTTGGGCGAATTCTGGTGTAGATCTAGTCTCCTCCTCTGCAGCTAAAGTAACATTCCCGATAATCAATGATTTGGCATTACCGCCAAGAGCCTGTGAGAGCAGTCTAGTCAATTTCGAATCGCGATAACTGATAAACTCCTTCCCCTCGCTTAGTTGCCTTATCACATTTCCTAATACTGACAAAGATTTGTTTATGTTAGCCCCCTCTTTAAGACGCTCACCAGCAGCTTTCGTCAGAGAAACTCTCTCAGAACCAGCTAAGTCCATTAAGTTAAGGTAGCTTATATGTACAGGTCCATCTTTCTGATTGGCATCTTTCGACTCCAGAATAATCCGGAAAATCGTGTGTGATCGAGATGACCTCTCATTCATGCGAGTAGCTGCAACTCGTCTGATCTTATTGCCCTGCATCATGTTCTCCATAACTTTATCAACATTGTCTACGACAGCTTCCCTTGCATCAAGCAGCACATTTCCTTTGATATCTTCTCATAGTTAAACCCTGATTGCTCTTATCCAGGAGGTCATTGATCTTTTCATTGTAGATTTCAATATAACTGCATCTAATCAAGTACCTCTTATCAACCTGGTCTGCCACATGCTGGAATAACTGATTGGATACTAATTGGAAAAGCCCAGGATCTGTTTTATTGCCCAAAATGGTGTGTGTTTTGCCAGAAGATGTTTGGCCATATGCAAATATTGTGGCATTGAAACCTTCCATGAAGGAATCGACTAAAGGTTTTACTACAGATCCATATACATCTGAATTTGTACATTCCTGTTAAATACATGGTCGAATATTAAACCTCTCCATGGCGACTACTTTCATCGGCTTCCCATATGCAGTTTACTCTTACGTTCCAAAGACGCTCTAGACCATCGGCTACTTCGCGGTGGATCATTGGTCTGATCTTTGTGGCTACTTTAATATTGTGGAAGTCATTTTGGAAGCTTGAACTGAAATTTAATTAGAACTAGGGCTATTTCACGGGTTTAAAGAGGGGCAGATGTATCAGGTTGATACATTCTTTTTTTCCTCCTTTCCAGTATAGAAGATTTTTTTCTCTTGTAGGCTATGAATGCGGTCCGATAGTTTAGTAGAGCTACATTTACAGGGTGACTCAAAATCAAAGAAGAAACAGAATTGTTAAATTTCATATAGACTGTTATTGTTATTACAAAAAGAAGTTGAAGCAGCAGCAAATTCTCACAAATCTATAGATCCATCACTTTCAGCACCCGATTTTTCAACTTGAAAAATGCAGCTCGGTGAAGAATCACAAGGTAACTGTTGTCTATTCAGACAATACTCTTCTAAAAGCAACGCGAAGTTACCTAGTGCCTTACATGAATCGCCTTCATAATTCTTCATTATTGTCAATGGAAAACTGAAATTGTTGATTATTACAGTTTTTAATGCTTCAAATAAACAGATGGTGTTCGTGTTGGAAATCCCACGTCTAATCTCGCAAAACAGGTTATCCACCGGATCTTACTATCAACATCTGAAATGCCATTACTGTTTTTAGCCATGTGTACAACAGGTTTGTACGCATAAGACACTCTTACATGAAAACTGTTTATTGTCTAAAAACGAAAATACCCCATTGAAGATGAGTAATGCAATAATATAATCCTCGAAACTTGAACTGTAATATGAACATAAAAAAACTAACAAAATGGGCCATTTAACAACATATTTGGTGTTGATATTCTACACAAAAAACAAATACTTTCTCGTATAAGGAAACATACAATAATTAACATTTATCACTTTTCACGAAACAATGTAAGTGCGCTGTGACTTTACATACTTATTACAGATTGTAGAACATTTTTTTCATTGTGTATTGTCATGTAACACCTACGTCGTTTTTTTTCTTTAACAACTGCATCAGGATCGAGAACTCTGGGCTGAGAAGTAGACGGCTTACTTTATTCGTCGTTGGTAATTTAGGATTCTTTGCATGGCTGAACGAAGCTCCCTAGGAAGTCTTGGATCTGATAAACGTCCTCTCATACGAAGTTAAATTAGAGTTTGCTCAGGGGAACAATAAAATTTCGTCGCCTAATGGAACTTTCAGTCCCAGACTGAAAAAAAAAGGAATTTACAGAAGCTGGTTGGATACCAAATAGCACAAGGCCATCTTCTCGTTCTCTAACCAGTATTGTAATTTACACACTTCCGATCTAATGCATTACCCCCCGCCTTCATAGTGTTATAAAAATAATATAGGATCTTATCAGGTTTCTTTGATTCCTCTACTATTTGTTATCATGCTGCATAGATGCTATACGAGAACATGTGTATTTGGTTTTGGAAGATACTACTCTAAGGCTGTAAACATAAACTTAGAAGTACCTGGCTGTGTTTCCTTCTTATTTGGAACTACATGTTGGGGTACTTGTTACTTATTTTTACGCTTCCTGCCGACATAGGTCAGTTGGTTGATGCGCAATTCTACATGTAATTCTACTGACGTGAACCAGTCATCTGCTGTGATATTTCTGTTCGTATAGACGAAAGCATTGAGCAGGTAGTGGTGAGTCTTTGCATCATCAGTCCATACTTATTCGGTTTAGTTTTCTTGTAGGCAGGAAGGACATCGGCCCACGAGCATCTCGTATTTTGTAGGGGACTCACCCGAAATATACAATTTCGACAGTTCTATGAGTGTCTCGAAAATTTCACGTATTTGGAGAAATTATCGGCATTTCTCGAGTCACAGGGTTATTATTTTCCAAATTGGTTGCCACGGACTTTAGTTCAGGTAAATGCGTAATAATCGACCAGTTGCAGGCGCTCGTTTTGACCAATTGTACATGTTTTTTCCATAGGCATAGCGAGGTCGCCCATAGGAAGTTGTTCAGGTTGATCGATAGCAGCGTCGTCCTCGGCCGTAGTCTATAGTGTATTGTTCATCCGTCAACAACGAAAAAATCCATTGTGAAGGAAGTTCAAATCGTACACGCAACTGACATCCTCGGATCAAATTTGACCGCAAAGTCAACAAACCAACAATTGTGATGTTTAAATTAAACTGTGGTTGAGGTATACGTGCTCATACCGTATGAGAAGTCACGGGACCCCCACCACATAACTGAGAAAGCTCGAATCATCCGACGATACCATTAAAGGATTAATTTCATATTCTTGAACGAATAGCTCTTTGTATGGTCTTGTTTGCTGATCAACATTATATGATTTCTAGACATGTTCAATCTGTGCAGCTTCTTCACTTTCATATTAATGTCAATAAGAGCATTTCATCCATTTTTGAATAAATGTGGTTCATCACAAATTGTAGAAATACTCTGAGCATTGACTATAAAATGGAATGGACTTGATCCGTGAGTATTCTCCGAGCAAATCGTCTCAAGTGCGTTTTTGATCGTTGCGCCCTGATTAGAAATAGTGCCAACAACGCACAAACCAAGTCGCTGCTAGTTTGTGATCACATGAACAATAATCGTTTTCAGATCTGGGATTCTTGTATCTTTTACTAGATAATAAGCCACAACCTGCTTATAATTTTTACGAATCCCTCTTATCATGGAAGTAAGGGCATGATTTCTGATAAATCACTTTTTCAGAGTTCTAGTTGATTTTGTTACCTCAGAATTCAAGATTTATTAGCTGAAAATTGTACACTGTGAGCTGCTGGGATCATCAGCCCTAAACTTTGTCCAAACCCTGCAATAATCGTAAACACTAAACAAGGGTAGACATATTTCTAGTTTAACTGCCTGAAGATTTTCTCTATGGTTTATACGTAACTCTCCACCTATTATCTCATTTTTGTACATGTTCTGGGAGAACTCAACTTGCTCCCTATAAAATGCAACGTCTTCCTGCACAGGTGGTTCTGGTTAAGTGCCAGCCTGCTTCGGGTTTGTAATTAGTTGTTGCAATTTTCTGATTTCGTCGTCCTTTTTCATAATCCAGATTTCGTTTTGGCATTCCAGTTCAGCCATTTGATCCTGAAGCTCTTTATAGTAGAATCATTATGGCATCGTATATCTGAGATTTTAAATGAGTGGTTGACCTCACGTTGGTTACTCTCGTCCATCAGACTCTTTACGTCATTTCTCAGTTTAGATTCAAGTTCTTTTAGGAAGCCAATTTCATCTTGCAGTTCAGCAATGTGTGACATCGTTACATCAGTTTGTGTAGCAGCACTTAAAGAATCTTGCATATCTTCGTACTCAGCGTCAAGCATAGCTTCTAAGTCTGCAACCTTCTTTTTTGACTCAATATTTTGAGCTTCAAGAGATGGTTTAGGGCTCTCTGATCTTCCTAGGTTCTTCAGTTGAGTACGCAGCATCTCTATTTCTGACTCGTATGTTTTTAGTCTTTTTATTATTTTTTTCCAGAAAATCGAGTCTGTATTGCAAGTCGATGAAATTCTTGCGCTTTTTGAGAATTTTTTTGAACTCTTTCTATTTCTTCGTTGTACGCATCCGTTACTTTGGCGGAGTTCCTGACTGTAACGATCGATTTTAGAATTGGCTTCTGTGAGCTGTTTCTTCAGGTCCAAAATCTCCAGCTGATTATCTAGTTTAGTGAATTCTCTAAGCTCATTGAAAGATTCTTCCAGTTCTTTGCGTTGTCTTTTAAGTACACTTGCACGTCTTCAGCTATCACAGATTCTGCTTCGGCTAGTGCCTCCTCATATGTCTCTTCTTGAATAGGCCTCATTTCACGTCCGGATGATTCTTCTTTGGGTGGATAATTTTTCAATGGCATATACCCTAGGGATGCTTTTTTAGGTGATACGTTGCCATAGTGTCCAAAAGTATGACGTCTTAATGTTTTTTTCGGTGTTGATGCCGAGGCTCCCATTTGAAAGCGCCCGACAATAGATACTTCCGTTTTTAGTCTTTCTATCTCGAGCAGATACTCTTGTTTGCTTTTATCCATCTCTTTTAGCTTAATTGCCTGCTTTTTGAGCGAGCCGAGTTTCGAGATCGCGAGTCAAGTTCTGATATCCTTGAAGTGTCTCTTCTGTAGCTGACAAGATGTTTACTTTCGTTTTATTTTTGACAGTTTTAGTGCTTTGGGCGAATTCTGGTGTAGATCTAGTCTCCTCCTCTGCAGCTAAAGTAACATTCCCGATAATCAATGATTTGGCATTACCGCCAAGAGCCTGTGAGAGCAGTCTAGTCAATTTCGAATCGCGATAACTGATAAACTCCTTCCCCTCGCTTAGTTGCCTTATCACATTTCCTAATACTGACAAAGATTTGTTTATGTTAGCCCCCTCTTTAAGACGCTCACCAGCAGCTTTCGTCAGAGAAACTCTCTCAGAACCAGCTAAGTCCATTAAGTTAAGGTAGCTTATATGTACAGGTCCATCTTTCTGATTGGCATCTTTCGACTCCAGAATAATCCGGAAAATCGTGTGTGATCGAGATGACCTCTCATTCATGCGAGTAGCTGCAACTCGTCTGATCTTATTGCCCTGCATCATGTTCTCCATAACTTTATCAACATTGTCTACGACAGCTTCCCTTGCATCAAGCAGCACATTTCCTTTGATATCTTCTCATAGTTAAACCCTGATTGCTCTTATCCAGGAGGTCATTGATCTTTTCATTGTAGATTTCAATATAACTGCATCTAATCAAGTACCTCTTATCAACCTGGTCTGCCACATGCTGGAATAACTGATTGGATACTAATTGGAAAAGCCCAGGATCTGTTTTATTGCCCAAAATGGTGTGTGTTTTGCCAGAAGATGTTTGGCCATATGCAAATATTGTGGCATTGAAACCTTCCATGAAGGAATCGACTAAAGGTTTTACTACAGATCCATATACATCTGAATTTGTACATTCCTGATTAAATACATGGTCGAATATATAAACCTCTCCATGGCGACTACTTTCATCGGCTTCCCATATGCAGTTTACTCTTACGTTCCAAAGACGCTCTAGACCATCGGCTACTTCGCGGTGGATCATTGGTCTGATCTTTGTGGCTACTTTAATATTGTTGGAAGTCATTTTGGAAGCTTGAACTGAAATTTAATTAGAACTAGGGCTATTTCACGGGTTATAAAGAGGGGCAGATGTATCAGGTTGATACATTCTTTTTTTCCTCCTTTCCAGTATAGAAGATTTTTTTCTCTTGTAGGCTATGAATGCGGTCCGATAGTTTAGTAGAGCTACATTTACAGGGTGACTCAAAATCAAAGAAGAAACAGAATTGTTAAATTTCATATAGACTGTTATTGTTATTACAAAAAGAAGTTGAAGCAGCAGCAAATTCTCACAAATCTATAGATCCATCACTTTCAGCACCCGATTTTTCAACTTGAAAAATGCAGCTCGGTGAAGAATCACAAGGTAACTGTTGTCTATTCAGACAATACTCTTCTAAAAGCAACGCGAAGTTACCTAGTGCCTTACATGAATCGCCTTCATAATTCTTCATTATTGTCAATGGAAAACTGAAATTGTTGATTATTACAGTTTTTAATGCTTCAAATAAACAGATGGTGTTCGTGTTGGAAATCCCACGTCTAATCTCGCAAAACAGGTTATCCACCGGATCTTACTATCAACTCTGAAATGCCATTACTGTTTTTAGCCATGTGTACAACAGGTTTGTACGCATAAGACACTCTTACATGAAAACTGTTTATTGTCTAAAAACGAAAATACCCCATTGAAGATGAGTAATGCAATAAATATAATCGAAACTTGAACTGTAATATGAACATAAAAAAACTAACAAAATGGGCCATTTAACAACATATTTGGTGTTGATATTCTACAACAAAAAAATACTTTCTCGTATAAGGAAACATACAATAATTAACATTTATCACTTTTCACGAAACAATGTAAGTGCGCTGTGACTTTACATACTTATTACAGATTGTAGAACATTTTTTTCATTGTGTATTGTCATGTAACACCTACGTCGTTTTTTTTCTTTAACAACTGCATCAGGATCGAGAACTCTGGGCTGAGAAGTAGACGGCTTACTTTATTCGTCGTTGGTAATTTAGGATTCTTTGCATGGCTGAACGAAGCTCCCTAGGAAGTCTTGGATCTGATAAACGTCCTCTCATACGAAGTTAAATTAGAGTTTGCCTCAGGGGAACAATAAAATTTCGTCGCCTAATGGAACTTTCAGTCCCAGACTGAAAAAAAAGGAATTTACAGAAGCTGGTTGGATACCAAATAGCACAAGGCCATCTTCTCGTTCTCTAACCAGTATTGTAATTTACACACTTCCGATCTAATGCATTACCCCCCGCCTTCATAGTGTTATAAAAATAATATAGGATCTTATCAGGTTTCTTTGATTCCTACTATTTTGTTATCATGCTGCATAGATTGCTATACGAGAACATGTGTATTTGGTTTTGGAAGATACTACTCTAAGGCTGTACAACATAAACTTAGAAGTACCTGGCTGTGTTTCCTTCTTATTTGGAACTACATGTTGGGGTACTTGTTACTTATTTTTACGCTTCCTGCCGACATAGGTCAGTTGGTTGATGCGCAATTCTACATGTAATTCTACTGACGTGAACCAGTCATCTGCTGTGATATTTCTGTTCGTATAGACGAAAGCATTGAGCAGGTAGTGGTGAGTCTTTGCATCATCAGTCCATACTTATTCGGTTTAGTTTTCTTGTAGGCACAGGAAGGACATCGGCCCACGAGCATCTCGTATTTTGTAGGGGACTCACCCGAAATATAACAATTTCGACAGTTCTCTATGAGTGTCTCGAAAATTTCACGTATTTGGAGAAATTTATCGGCATTTCTCGAGTCACAGGGTTATTATTTTCCAAATTGGTTGCCACGGACTTTAGTTCAGGTAAATGCGTAATAATCGACCAGTTGCAGGCGCGCTCGTTTTGACCAATTGTACATGTTTTTTCCATAGGCATAGCGAGGTCGCCCATAGGAAGTTGTTCAGGTTGATCGATAGCAGCGTCGTCCTCGGCGTAGTCTATAGTGTATTGTTCATCCGTCAACAACGAAAAAATCCATTGTGAAGGAAGTTCAAATCGTACACGCAACTGACATCCTCGGATCAAATTTGACCGCAAAGTCAACAAACCAACAATTGTGATGTTTAAATTAAACTGTGGTTTGAGGTATACGTGCTCATACCGTATGAGAAGTCACGGGACCCCCACCACATAACTGAGAAAGCTCGAATCATCCGACGATATCATTAAAGGATTAATTTCTATATTCTTGAACGAATCTATAAAATCAAAGTGGCTGGGTTTCAATTTACATAGCTCTTTGTATGGTCTTGTTTGCTGATCAACATTATATGATTTCTAGACATGTTCAATCTGTGCAGCTTCTTCACTTTCATATTAATGTCAATAAGAGCATTTCATCCATTTTTGAATAAATGTGGTTCATCACAAATTGTAGAAATACTCTGAGCATTGACTATAAAATGGAATGGACTTGATCCGTGAGTATTCTCCGAGCAAATCGTCTCAAGTGCGTTTTTGATCGTTGCGCCCTGATTAGAAATAGTGCCAACAACGCACAAACCAAGTCGCTGCTAGTTTGTGATCACATGAACAATAATCGTTTTCAGATCTGGGATTCTTGTATCTTTTACTAGATAATAAGCCACAACCTGCTTATAATTTTTACGAATCCCTCTTATCATGGAAGTAAGGGCATGATTTCTGATAAATCACTTTTTCAGAGTTCTAGTTGATTTTGTTACCTCAGAATTCAAGATTTATTAGCTGAAAATTGTACACTGTGAGCACTGGGATCAGCCCTAAACTTTGTCCAAACCCTGCAATAATCGTAAACACTAAACAAGGGTAGACATATTTCTAGTTTAACTGCCTGAAGATTTTCTCTATGGTTTATACGTAACTCTCCACCTATTATCTCATTTTTGTACATGTTCTGGGAGAACTCAACTTGCTCCCTATAAAATGCAACGTCTTCCTGCACAGGTGGTTCTGGTTAAGTGCCAGCCTGCTTCGGGTTTGTAATTAGTTGTTGCAATTTTCTGATTTCGTCGTCCTTTTTCATAATCCAGATTTCGTTTTGGCATTCCAGTTCAGCCATTTGATCCTGAAGCTCTTTTATAGTAGAATCATTATGGCATCGTATATCTGAGATTTTAAATGAGTGGTTGACCTCACGTTGGTTACTCTCGTCCATCAGACTCTTTACGTCATTTCTCAGTTTAGATTCAAGTTCTTTTAGGAAGCCAATTTCATCTTGCAGTTCAGCAATGTGTGACATCGTTACATCAGTTTGTGCAGCAGCACTTAAAGAATGTTGCATATCTTCGTACTCAGCGTCAAGCATAGCTTCTAAGTCTGCAACCTTCTTTTTTGACTCAATATTTTGAGCTTCAAGAGATGGTTTAGGGCTCTCTGATCTTCCTAGGTTCTTCAGTTGAGTACGCAGCATCTCTATTTCTGACTCGTATGTTTTTAGTCTTTTTATTATTTTTTTCCAGAAAATCGAGTCTGTATTGCAAGTCGATGAAATTCTTGCGCTTTTTGAGAATTTTTTTGAACTCTTTCTATTTCTTCGTTGTACGCATCCGTTACTTGGCGGAGTTCCTGACTGTAACGATCGAATTTAGAATTGGCTTCTGTGAGCTGTTTCTTCAGGTCCAAAATCTCCAGCTGATTATCTAGTTTAGTGAATTCTCTAAGCTCATTGAAAGATTCTTCCAGTTCTTTGAGTTGTCTTTTAAGTACACTTGCACGTCTTCAGCTATCACAGATTCTGCTTCGGCTAGTGCCTCCTCATATGTCTCTTCTTGAATAGGCCTCATTTCACGTCCGGATGATTCTTCTTTGGGTGGATAATTTTTCAATGGCATATACCCTAGGGATGCTTTTTTAGGTGATACGTTGCCATAGTGTCCAAAAGTATGACGTCTTAATGTTTTTTTCGGTGTTGATGCCGAGGCTCCCATTTGAAAGCGCCCGACAATAGATACTTCCGTTTTTAGTCTTTCTATCTCGAGCAGATACTCTTGTTTGCTTTTATCCATCTCTTTTAGCTTAATTGCCTGCTTTTTGAGCCGAGTTTCGAGATCGCGAGTCAAGTTCTGATATCCTTGAAGTGTCTCTTCTGTAGCTGACAAGATGTTTACTTTCGTTTTATTTTTGACAGTTTTAGTGCTTTGGGCGAATTCTGGTGTAGATCTAGTCTCCTCCTCTGCAGCTAAAGTAACATTCCCGATAATCAATGATTTGGCATTACCGCCAAGAGAGCTCCTAATCCCCTCCCCTTAGTTGCCTTATCACATTTCCTAATACTGACAAAGATTTGTTTATGTTAGCCCCCTCTTTAAGACGCTCACCAGCAGCTTTCGTCAGAGAAACTCTCTCAGAACCAGCTAAGTCCATTAAGTTAAGGTAGCTTATATGTACAGGTCCATCTTTCTGATTGGCATCTTTCGACTCCAGAATAATCCGGAAAATCGTGTGTGATCGAGATGACCTCTCATTCATGCGAGTAGCTGCAACTCGTCTGATCTTATTGCCCTGCATCATGTTCTCCATAACTTTATCAACATTGTCTACGACAGCTTCCCTTGCATCAAGCAGCACATTTCCTTTGATATCTTCTCTTAGTTAAACCCTGATTGCTCTTATCCAGGAGGTCATTGATCTTTTCATTGTAGATTTCAATATAACTGCATCTAATCAAGTACCTCTTATCAACCTGGTCTGCCACATGCTGGAATAACTGATTGGATACTAATTGGAAAAGCCCAGGATCTGTTTTATTGCCCAAAATGGTGTGTGTTTTGCCAGAAGATGTTTGGCCATATGCAAATATTGTGGCATTGAAACCTTCCATGAAGGAATCGACTAAAGGTTTTACTACAGATCCATATACATCTGAATTTGTACATTCCTGATTAAATACATGGTCGAATATATAAACCTCTCCATGGCGACTACTTTCATCGGCTTCCCATATGCAGTTTACTCTTACGTTCCAAAGACGCTCTAGACCATCGGCTACTTCGCGGTGGATCATTGGTCTGATCTTTGTGGCTACTTTAATATTGTTGGAAGTCATTTTGGAAGCTTGAACTGAAATTTAATTAGAACTAGGGCTATTTCACGGGTTATAAAGAGGGGCACTTTTCATAATCCAGATTTCGTTTTGGCATTCCAGTTCAGCCATTTGATCCTGAAGCTCTTTTATAGTAGAATCATTATGGCATCGTATATCTGAGATTTTAAATGAGTGGTTGACCTCACGTTGGTTACTCTCGTCCATCAGACTCTTTACGTCATTTCTCAGTTTAGATTCAAGTTCTTTTAGGAAGCCAATTTCATCTTGCAGTTCAGCAATGTGTGACATCGTTACATCAGTTTGTGTAGCAGCACTTAAAGAATCTTGCATATCTTCGTACTCAGCGTCAAGCATAGCTTCTAAGTCTGCAACCTTCTTTTTTGACTCAATATTTTGAGCTTCAAGAGATGGTTTAGGGCTCTCTGATCTTCCTAGGTTCTTCAGTTGAGTACGCAGCATCTCTATTTCTGACTCGTATGTTTTTAGTCTTTTTATTATTTTTTTCCAGAAAATCGAGTCTGTATTGCAAGTCGATGAAATTCTTGCGCTTTGAGAATTTTTTTGAACTCTTTCTATTTCTTCGTTGTACGCATCCGTTACTTGGCGGAGTTCCTGACTGTAACGATCGATTTTAGAATTGGCTTCTGTGAGCTGTTTCTTCAGGTCCAAATCTCCAGCTGATTATCTAGTTTAGTGAATTCTCTAAGCTCATTGAAAGATTCTTCCAGTTCTTTGCGTTGTCTTTTAAGTACACTTGCACGTCTTCAGCTATCACAGATTCTGCTTCGGCTAGTGCCTCCTCATATGTCTCTTCTTGAATAGGCCTCATTTCACGTCCGGATGATTCTTCTTTGGGTGGATAATTTTTCAATGGCATATACCCTAGGGATGCTTTTTTAGGTGATACGTTGCCATAGTGTCCAAAAGTATGACGTCTTAATGTTTTTTTCGGTGTTGATGCCGAGGCTCCCATTTGAAAGCGCCCGACAATAGATACTTCCGTTTTTAGTCTTTCTATCTCGAGCAGATACTCTTGTTTGCTTTTATCCATCTCTTTTAGCTTAATTGCCTGCTTTTTGAGCCGAGTTTCGAGATCGCGAGTCAAGTTCTGATATCCTTGAAGTGTCTCTTCTGTAGCTGACAAGATGTTTACTTTCGTTTTATTTTTGACAGTTTTAGTGCTTTGGGCGAATTCTGGTGTAGATCTAGTCTCCTCCTCTGCAGCTAAAGTAACATTCCCGATAATCAATGATTTGGGCATTACCGCCAAGAGCCTGTGAGAGCAGTCTAGTCAATTTCGAATCGCGATAACTGATAAACTCCTTCCCCTCGCTTAGTTGCCTTATCACATTTCCTAATACTGACAAAGATTTGTTTATGTTAGCCCCCTCTTTAAGACGCTCACCAGCAGCTTTCGTCAGAGAAACTCTCTCAGAACCAGCTAAGTCCATTAAGTTAAGGTAGCTTATATGTACAGGTCCATCTTTCTGATTGGCATCTTTCGACTCCAGAATAATCCGGAAAATCGTGTGTGATCGAGATGACCTCTCATTCATGCGAGTAGCTGCAACTCGTCTGATCTTATTGCCCTGCATCATGTTCTCCATAACTTTATCAACATTGTCTACGACAGCTTCCCTTGCATCAAGCAGCACATTTCCTTTGATATCTTCTCTTATAGTTAAACCCTGATTGCTCTTATCCAGGAGGTCATTGATCTTTTCATTGTAGATTTCAATATAACTGCATCTAATCAAGTACCTCTTATCAACCTGGTCTGCCACATGCTGGAATAACTGATTGGATACTAATTGGAAAAGCCCAGGATCTGTTTTATTGCCCAAAATGGTGTGTGTTTTGCCAGAAGATGTTTGGCCATATGCAAATATTGTGGCATTGAAACCTTCCATGAAGGAATCGACTAAAGGTTTTACTACAGATCCATATACATCTGAATTTGTACATTCCTGCTTAAATACATGGTCGAATATATAAACCTCTCCATGGCGACTACTTTCATCGGCTTCCCATATGCAGTTTACTCTTACGTTCCAAAGACGCTCTAGACCATCGGCTACTTCGCGGTGGATCATTGGTCTGATCTTTGTGGCTACTTTAATATTGTCGGAAGTCATTTTGGAAGCTTGAACTGAAATTTAATTAGAACTAGGGCTATTTCACGGGTTATAAAGAGGGGCACTTTTCATAATCCAGATTTCGTTTTGGCATTCCAGTTCAGCCATTTGATCCTGAAGCTCTTTTATAGTAGAATCATTATGGCATCGTATATCTGAGATTTTAAATGAGTGGTTGACCTCACGTTGGTTACTCTCGTCCATCAGACTCTTTACGTCATTTCTCAGTTTAGATTCAAGTTCTTTTAGGAAGCCAATTTCATCTTGCAGTTCAGCAATGTGTGACATCGTTACATCAGTTTGTGTAGCAGCACATTAAAGAATCTTGCATATCTTCGTACTCAGCGTCAAGCATAGCTTCTAAGTCTGCAACCTTCTTTTTGACTCAATATTTTGAGCTTCAAGAGATGGTTTAGGGCTCTCTGATCTTCCTAGGTTCTTCAGTTGAGTACGCAGCATCTCTATTTCTGACTCGTATGTTTTTAGTCTTTTTATTATTTTTTTCCAGAAAATCGAGTCTGTATTGCAAGTCGATGAAATTCTTGCGCTTTTGAGAATTTTTTTGAACTCTTTCTATTTCTTCGTTGTACGCATCCGTTACTTGGCGGAGTTCCTGACTGTAACGATCGATTTTAGAATTGGCTTCTGTGAGCTGTTTCTTCAGGTCCAAAATCTCCAGCTGATTATCTAGTTTAGTGAATTCTCTAAGCTCATTGAAAGATTCTTCCAGTTCTTTGCGTTGTCTTTTAAGTACACTTGCACGTCTTCAGCTATCACAGATTCTGCTTCGGCTAGTGCCTCCTCATATGTCTCTTCTTGAATAGGCCTCATTTCACGTCCGGATGATTCTTCTTTGGGTGGATAATTTTTCAATGGCATATACCCTAGGGATGCTTTTTTAGGTGATACGTTGCCATAGTGTCCAAAAGTATGACGTCTTAATGTTTTTTTCGGTGTTGATGCCGAGGCTCCCATTTGAAAGCGCCCGACAATAGATACTTCCGTTTTTAGTCTTTCTATCTCGAGCAGATACTCTTGTTTGCTTTTATCCATCTCTTTTAGCTTAATTGCCTGCTTTTGAGCCGAGTTTCGAGATCGCGAGTCAAGTTCTGATATCCTTGAAGTGTCTCTTCTGTAGCTGACAAGATGTTTACTTTCGTTTTATTTTGACAGTTTTAGTGCTTTGGGCGAATTCTGGTGTAGATCTAGTCTCCTCCTCTGCAGCTAAAGTAACATTCCCGATAATCAATGATTTGGCATTACCGCCAAGAGCCTGTGAGAGCAGTCTAGTCAATTTCGAATCGCGATAACTGATAAACTCCTTCCCCTCGCTTAGTTGCCTTATCACATTTCCTAATACTGACAAAGATTTGTTTATGTTAGCCCCCTCTTTAAGACGCTCACCAGCAGCTTTCGTCAGAGAAACTCTCTCAGAACCAGCTAAGTCCATTAAGTTAAGGTAGCTTATATGTACAGGTCCATCTTTCTGATTGGCATCTTTCGACTCCAGAATAATCCGGAAAATCGTGTGTGATCGAGATGACCTCTCATTCATGCGAGTAGCTGCAACTCGTCTGATCTTATTGCCCTGCATCATGTTCTCCATAACTTTATCAACATTGTCTACGACAGCTTCCCTTGCATCAAGCAGCACATTTCCTTTGATATCTTCTCATAGTTAAACCCTGATTGCTCTTATCCAGGAGGTCATTGATCTTTTCATTGTAGATTTCAATATAACTAACTGCATCTAATCAAGTACCTCTTATCAACCTGGTCTGCCACATGCTGGAATAACTGATTGGATACTAATTGGAAAAGCCCAGGATCTGTTTTATTGCCCAAAATGGTGTGTGTTTTGCCAGAAGATGTTTGGCCATATGCAAATATTGGGCATTGAAACCTTCCATGAAGGAATCGACTAAAGGTTTTACTACAGATCCATATACATCTGAATTTGTACATTCCTGATTAAATACATGGTCGAATATATAAACCTCTCCATGGCGACTACTTTCATCGGCTTCCCATATGCAGTTTACTCTTACGTTCCAAAGACGCTCTAGACCATCGGCTACTTCGCGGTGGATCATTGGTCTGATCTTTGTGGCTACTTTAATATTGTGGAAGTCATTTTGGAAGCTTGAACTGAAATTTAATTAGAACTAGGGCTATTTCACGGGTTATAAAGAGGGGCACTTTTCATAATCCAGATTTCGTTTGGCATTCCAGTTCAGCCATTTGATCCTGAAGCCTTTTATAGTAGAATCATATGGCATCGTATATCTGAGATTTTTAATGAGTGGTTGACCTCACGTTGGTTACTCTCGTCCATCAGACTCTTTACGTCATTTCTCAGTTTAGATTCAAGTTCTTTTAGGAAGCAATTTCATCTTGCAGTTCAGCAATGTGTGACATCGTTACATCAGTTTGTGTGCAGCAGCACTAAAGAATCTGCATATCTTCGTACTCAGCGTCAAGCATAGCTTCTAAGTCTGCAACTTCTTTTTGACTCAATATTTTGAGCTTCAAGAGATGGTTTAGGCTCTCTGATCTCCTCCTAGGTTCTTCAGTTGAGTACGCAGCATCTCTATTTCTGACTCGTATGTTTTAGTCTTTTTTATATTTTTTTCCAGAAAATCGAGTCTGTATTGCAAGTCGATGAAATTCTTGCGCTTTTTGAGAATTTTTTTGAACTCTTTCTATTTCTTCGTTGTACGCATCCGTTACTTGGCGGATTCCTGACTGTAACGATCG